GTGAATTTTGTGTCATTCTTCTCTACTCCCACAAGGAGGTATTGTGGCCAAGAAAGTCCTGTCACCTACTCCAAAGCATCCCTGAGGTARGTGGATTTAGAGCTCTGGAGAAACACGGTTGTTGAAGGTAGCTCCCTGATGCAGGCAGGGAGGTACTGCAGTCAGTGAAAAAGAGAGGATTTCAATTCTCACAGTGTTCCCTGGACTAGGCAATGTGTTAAGCATCAAAATGTCTTCTTAGTAGCTCAGTTTTCCAGCAGGTAAGTTTGCACTGCTAAGCCACTTGAGTTTTCTTACTGCATGACATATGTTGCAATTATTATGTCTTCAGGGATCATAAACATATGAATTGCTTTAGCTAAATCTGAAATAAGGGCAAATCTTCTGTTTATTGGGGATAGAGAAACAAGTCTAATAGGAGCAAGTCCTCTTGTAAGAATCCTTCTATAAACAGTTTGAGAGCCATTAAGTCAGTTTATGAGTTTTAGTCTCAAATGCAATGGAAAAATCAATGGCTCATACCAATAGCAACAAATCTATGACTTCTGATTTACACTAGCATTTGAAGTCTCAAGTCCAGAATGCATGAACTTACCCATAAGCAGAATTATGACCAGAAAAGGTTGAGAATCAGAGTCTCAGACTGCAAAGCTCTCCACCCTTTCCAAAAACAAAGACATGAAACAAAACTAATCTAAAATAAGTATGATCATCTTTATCTGCTGCAGCARTAAAGGATTCTGCCACATCCTGGAATGGAAGCAGCATTATTAGAATCAGAGGAAAATAGATATGCATCTCCTACATCTTCCTAGCATTCAATAACATGATAACTCAGATGCTCACAATAACTTTCTATAGATAATACTGGACATTTTTCTTCTGCCACACAGGTTCACCCTGCCCACTCAGATGCCACTGTATTCTGTTGCACTGCAATTATTTTACTGCCTCATATCAGGAAGTTCCACTTCCACTATCATACAGCTGTTCCTAATGTGTAATCAGAGCCACTGCATACACTTGCATTTTGTGCCTTGTACCCGTCCTCCTCATCCTCACTTCCTGACTCAAGGACATCTAATCCAGTGCTGGGGATGTCAGAAGCAGCTTTTCTATAGGGGAGCTCTACTTAGTTTGATGAAGAGAAAGCACTTTCATATTTAAATTATGTTACCAGAATTACGGCCCTTTAGATGCAGAACATACATGTGCACCTCTCAGCACAAAACAAGAAAGCTAAGCTCACTTTAAGAGATTTTTGTGTGAGAAATAAGAATTGAGTAGAAGTATAAGCTAGAAGAGCAGGCTGTGGTGCAGGCAAATGGAAAACTCCCTGAAGGGCAGAGCTCACAGGGTAGTGATCAGTGGTCTGTCGGGAGGCCTGTAGCCAGCAGTATATCCCGGAGCAAATCCTGGGTCCAGTCTGGTTGAACTTATTCACCAGAGACCTAGACAATAGGACAGAATGCTCCCTCAGCAAGTGTGCTCCCACAAAACTGGGAGAAGTGGCTGATGCAGCACAGGGCTGGGCTGCCTTTCACAGGAACCTCAGAGGGAGGTAGGCAGAAAAAAACCTCATGAAGTTCAGCAAAGGGAAATGGAGAGACCTACACGCGAGGCAGGCAAATAACCTCATGCACCAGGAGAGGCTGAGGAGCTACCTGCTTGAAAGCAGCTCAGCAGAGGAGTTGGTGGCCCTGGTGGACAAGTTGCCCATGAGGCAACAAGGTGCCCTTGTGGCAAAGGTGGCCGATGGTATCCCAGGCATGAGAAACGGCATTGCCAGCAAGTCAAGGAAGGTGTGGGACAGTGTAAAGCTGGGACAGTGTAAAGAAGGTGGAAYCACACCCTACTCAAAGGTGCCCAGTGACAGAGAAGCATCRGTCAAACCAAAACAAGTCAATTCTGTTTGCACATAAGGAAAAACTTGTCTAYTGTGAGGGTGACTGAGCACTGGAACAGGTTGTCCAGAGACTGCAACCTTGAACAGGRCTGAGGGGGCAAGGGGAGATAACCTCTAAAAGTCCCTTTGACCTCCCTCAGTGGTAACACAAGAGATCACTCTACCCTTCCTCCAGGAATTTTGGCCAGTGAGAAGTAATTTCTTTTAAGTCAAACTTTCTCTCCTCTGTTTTCTGTCAAAAGATACACTAAATCTGAACATTCAACATATCAAATTAGATTTTCTAATTACCTCTCATAAAAATAACTGAAGATTCAGAATTTGACTCCACAAAGTAACTTGCCTTCAACTCAGTTATGTGTGATTTAAGGCTTATCTAGGAACACCCTTGAGACACGATAACAGCCAAACATAGGCAACACTGACATTGCAGTAGATGGAAACAGCACAGACAACTACTGTGTTTCTGACCATACAGGGTCACTAAGARAAGGCAATAAATACCAAACATTTTAGGTGCTGAGCTTGTTCAAAAAATAAGTTGTAACCACGCTATGATGCAAATGAACAACAACAAATCATTCTTGCAATATAAAATCATACTGACTCCTTCCATAAACCACCATATAAGTGTCAGGTCTTTTACAATTAATTCTTGTTATGTTATGAATCAGAAGGCAATTTTTTGAAATGTTGTGTTTTATATGTGAAATCTGACAATATAAATTTCCCAAAAAATGCTTTTATCTAGTTTTAATACTTTATTTTGGCATAAAATATATTTATCTAAATGTGCATATATATATTATAGATATATAATTTATATAATTTATAATTTAGATAAATATATTTTATACACACACACACAGACAAAAGGTGGCCCTTTAGAACTTTACCAAACCATATCAAAAGGAAGACATGGCAGTTCTAGTAGCTTTCTGGGTGAAGCTCAGAGCCTRTTGACAGCCTACAAAAACCCTCCTGGTGATCCATTTTAATGGAGTTCCAAAAGGAGAACCAAAATGTGGAATGAGATAGCCCTTATTAAGGAATCTTTTTGAAGTTCAAAGAGAAATGCATAAAGACGATCGTCTGTATTAAGACGATCAGATTATACATCTTTGAAAAAATTTTCTAAGAAGGTAAGAAATTCATGAGAAAATGAATTTACCCAGAAACATGCTTGCCATGCATTACAGCAACATTCTCCTTCAGATCAACGGTGAAATCCAACAGAATTTGAGACCAAAACCTCATTCACTGACATTGTTCATTGAGACTGAAGTGCAGCCAAGTCACACCAAYGCCTCCATTTCTGAAAATATTCAACATAACTACTTCCTGAAATAAGTTAAATGCAACGTATTATTCCTCCCATGTCTGCTCTTCACTTGGCCTGCTAACTTGTCCCTTTACACTTTCAATTTCATAAGTTAATATTATGAAAAGGATTATCATCATTATCTTGAAAAAAAGTCTATCCTTTCTCTAAAACGATCTCCTAATAGTGAACTCCAACACCATGGAACTGCAGCACTTGTACACTGGCCTTCAAAATAAATAGTTATATAACAGTCTTTCACTTAACATGCTCAGTGTGAGACAGAAGCTAAAATGTGAGCAGAAGAGGGATTTTATTTATACTTCCAGATGTTGGTCTGCAACTCTGGGACTGATCTGAGTGAAATTTAGAGTATTGTTTCAAAATTCCCCTCCAAAGWAATAGAAGCTCCAGCCACATACATAAATTCATAACAGATTTAAAAGCACAGGAATAAAAACACCTGCCAGTCACCTTAAAAAAAAATGCATCCACAGAATATTAAATACTGTATACTAACACATGCACAAGGTGTAGCTGCATGCAAACAGTTTCACYACAATCAGCGAGTCACATTCTTCCAGAGAGCTTCAAGCAAACATGAGACACCTAATTGCAACAAAACGTGATTTGAGTAATACACAATAAAGCTACATGTGATGAGGCATATCACAAATTAAAAATAATATATTGCTCTAAAGGTCTAAAAGTAACCACAAAATTATTGTGCTGCTATTTACTATATAATTGTTCCTGAATTTCTTAAAACTAACTTGAACAGCCCTGCTAATCCTTGGAGAAAGATGTGTTGCAAGCACTCAATTTGTCATTGCATGATGATAGGTGATAACAWTGACTTAACTTCCTTTTAAAATGTATGAGCTCTATATAATCTATTTTATGTATTATTTATTTCTGTAGTCACTTGTGGTCTTGGCTGAGAATCAATAAATAAATTGAAAATGTGAAATATTTTTATATTATCCACATATAAAAAATATCAATATAAATTCACATATTTTCATTGAATCTTGTGTTATCAGCCTGGAATGGATGAGCTACAGGAATACTCCAAAATGAAAGACTTTTTAAAAAAAAATCTCAGCTGATTGGTATAACAGATAACCAGGGTATTTGCTGGTCATAACACTTTTCATCTCAAAAGCACCCTAAAGTACCTCAGATAACATATGCATGCATCATAAATTCTAAAAGTAGCCACTTTTGGAACCAGGAGGGAGCCAATATCAATAATCACTACCTTGAACAGCAGCAGAGACTCAGAAATTGGTCCAACTACACATGYAGGAAGACAAAAGAAAAATAACCTGAAGAAGCTGCAACTTTARTAAGGGCAGGTGACACAAAGTCCTGCTTTAAATGACTGCTGCACAGTCCTTCAGGCACAAACTGCTACATGCCCCAAGAATGCTGTTCAGCAGTGGAAAGGAGGTTGAAGTCTGCTCTCCCTCCAGCAGCCTCCCTCCCTCTCTCCCCAGCAGCCAAATCCATTAAAAAAGAAAAAAAAAAGACAACAGTGAAACCAAAAAAACAAGCAAGCCTAACTTTCATGCAATTTCATGCAATTTCAAGTAAAATAGAAGAAATCTGTACTTCACAATATGGCCATAGCTCGAAATAGATATCTATCTCATCAAAAATATTTTATTTTAAGATCATTAATCTTCTCGAAAAACTTAATTCATTTTGATACTGAAGTTACACATGTAAGCCAATCCTTTGTGATGCCTAAATTATTTGTCACATACTTACTCTCTTTTCGGACATCCTGGAGCGCTGAGTGAAGTTCTTCTTTAAATACAGTTGCCTCCTTGGCAATTTTTGCTCCCTTGTCCAATAGATTCCAAGTGGCTTCTTCCACAGAAGCYAGCAAGACATGAGCTCTTTTGGACCGTCCCTTTTTCTTGTTAGAAGGATTCTGTGGACAGTTCACTAGWGTTGTAACCTATATTTAAAAGAAACAAGACAACAGAGGCTTAAGTTCTATACCAAGCTTTCCTATTTTAAAAATCAAATTAATATAGGTGAGATTAAGTAATGGGATTCTCCCACCACTTATAAGGGGTAGGCAAGCCCAGCATAGCAGCCCACAAGGAAAGGGGTAGGCAAGCCCAGCATACACAGTGAGAATGGGCAAAACTATCACTTTACGTTTGACAGGTCACATCACCTACGATGCCTGATCTGTGTGCACTTCCTTCTAAAGCTATCAAAACAAAGACAATGGGAACCCCATTATCACATTAGCCCTGAAACAAACTTTGACACTGATGGTTTTCAAATTGCTTTATGATATAAATATTATGTATTGTATTTATAGAGGCTTCCTTTAGGGCAGGCGTTATAATCAGTGCTTCCCACACTTCTCTATCTCTTGAGCTGAGGAAAAAATAATCTAGTTGTGTACAGATGAATCTCAAAAACATTCCCTCTTCTTACAGATGAGGATCACAGCGGTCAGAATTCAGCACTTCAGAATTCTCTGAGGGGTTTTCATACCTTAACAACATATTACGCAGAATCTAGATTACAGTAGCTTGGTCCAAATTATGGCTTTTAAGAACACATGTCAAAGAAGTTATTTTTGCACAGCAACCCACTCCACATTCCGCCTCCTCCACACAGCCTCCTCACTCCAACAGAATGTTTCTAACAAACTTCTCTGAAGTCATTGAGCTGTCATAATAAGGGAACACCCCTAAGAGATCTTTTTAAATATTGTTATGGAGGCATATCAAAACATACTTTATTTCCAATCAGTCCACTGAAGTTTTTTTTAAATACATTATTGTTAACATTAAGTAGATATTAGAAATATTTAAAGAAAAAATTGTATTATATAATATTAATACTAAAGTATAATATGAAGTAAAAATCTAATCCTAAAGCTCAAAGAGGGCATTTTGTGTGTATGTAACTCTAAGGGAAATTTCTGTGGCAAAGGAACTGACAGCACTATTACAAAAGCAAAACAAAAGCTGGCTACAAATTTCTGAATCCAACATGCAACTTAGCTCACAGCTGCAGCACAGCTGGTGGTTTGAGCTACTCCAAGGAAAAGTGCTCCCTTCACAAGCCCACAAAAAAATAACGTCCTGTCTCCCGGTCATGGTTAGACCTTTTTCAGGATTTCAAACACTTTCAAGCTTCTCAGGAAGCAACACTTTTAAAAGCTCTAATAAATACCCTGAGGGAAGCACTCCTAAGARCACATCCTTGAAAGAAAAAGCCTTGGTCCCTACCTTACTCAGGTACTTGGCCCCTACCTTACTCAGGGAAATKTGTGATACACAATAAAGACCAACTACTTGGCACCAACTGCCTTAGAAAGCCACAAGGGAGGCAGTCACATAAATATCTTCGGCTCAGATAATTAAAGAAAGTTTGAGTAATTTTTCTAACTGCAGCTTGGCCACAAAAGATGGTAAATGAAATTTACTGCACATAAATCAGCCAGCTRGTAGGGAATGCACTAGGAGTAAGAATCTAACTATCTTTATCTTGACAAACCCCAAAACATTATTTCTAGAGCATTTAATGCAGCATCTACAAGATGTCAAAGATGACAGAAAACTGATTTTTTTGTTGTTGTTGTTACACAGCAATGTATTAAGCTAAGACATCATTTAAATGCCTTTTTATGGTCATTCCAAGGAACATATTACTAATATATTTTATATTTCTGCTTCTTACCCTAGTTTCATTCTTATGAATAAAAGCTACATGGAATAATATTTCAATTGTGTTTTCAAGGAGGAGGAAAGCAAAAAGTAGAAATGGAGGAAGCTCATGACTGCAAGACCCTTCATCTTCAGCAAAACTATCAGGAAAGGAAATTTCAGAAGCTTAAAAAAAATCAAGATTTCATGGAAATGGGCCCAATGCTATTTAACACAGGCAGCTTATCTCAAATATCATTCAAAATTTGATAGGTAAGTCTTTGACTCAGAGGTTAAAGAATAAACACTACTCAGATCTCTCTAACAGATGCTCAAGGAGGAATACAATCACTTCATGCAGAAGGAAGAACTGAACTACACAGTAGTTAATATGGTATGCTCTTCAGATTCATTGTCAATACAGTTTGTAACGTAAAGATACATAGTAAAAGTGATAACATTTCAGGAGATAACCAGAGAAGTCTGTCCCCATTTATCAAGTTCACACCTTTGTCAGTTATAAATACACTTTCTTACTACTATACACAGCATGCATGTCTGCCAGTATTCAACAAATAACATTATCATCAAGACTTTATTTGGTACATTTTGGAAGAGGGAGAGCGCTGCACTAAAAAAAAAAGAGCTTTTTTAGGAGTGATTTTCAAGCCCATATGCCAYCACAGCTGTAAAGTTGAATCATGCTGTTGGTAATTAGTACTGCCAATTTCAACTTTTTTGCCATAGTTGCCCTAAATGCTGAATTCCTAATGAACTGTGCAGCAGTTCTTCAGAAGCTGCATTTGGTTCTTGGCCATGATTTATATCTAATTCTTTAATATTGCAGTAATTTAGGAAAATAATGCTTTAATATCTTTAGCACCAAAAAGTTTTGTTYATCTTTTTACTATTACAGAAGAAAACCCTCAATCACAAAACAGCCCTTCAATTTGAAAAAGTATTTAGTTCAGCATATCCTGCAATCCTAGATGTTTTGAAGAAAATAAGAAACTTGAAAGCAGCTGTCCAATGACACTGGCAAAGCCACATGCTAATTGTTTCAAACACTGACAGCCCTGTATCAAAGACAGACATTTGAAGATAGCAAATTATTTCCCATACCAATAAACCCTAGCTAAGCATTTTTACTAAACTTAAAAATACAGTCACCCTATATGGCACTAAAAACACAGCAGCATCTGGCTTGGATGTGAGTAGTCAAACTTTTTACAGGTGGAAATAAATGCCTTTCCACTTTTCTATTTCTAAACAATGATACAAGGGACCCAAAAATACATGTGTGATTGCATATGTTCTTAAAATTGAGTGACTTTCCTTCCACATTTCTGTTGTGAGATTAAATGTGAGATTTTAAAAAAAGGCATTAATGAAAGAAAGAAAAGAAAATAGCCAAACTCTTTGCTTCAAATGATTTATTTCTTTGAACTAAGGAGTTTCTATTTTTAACAGACTAAAGCTTTAAAAAAGATACTCAAGAAGATCATGTTGTTTTTACAGATGAAGTTTCTTTGTTTAGTTTTGAAAAAGGACTTCTTGTTTGGCTGTTTTTGTGGGGTTGTTTTGATCCTACAAAACACAAGTTAAGTTCTTTATTAATCATGTTCCTTCATTTACTCTAAAAATACCCACAGCATTGCAACTGCTTGAGAACAATCCGGCCTACTGCCATTATCCAATAAAAGTTTTCTAACGCAGTGTATCGAAGACATCTAGGTCTAACATTCAGATTAATTTCATAATCCACCCACACAAAATGCTCCAGCTTGATGACTATGAAGAAATCACTGAGCTGTGACTCAGGTTTTATACACCATCCATCATACTCTTGCAAAAAAATAAAGAATTAAAGGCAGACAAAATCAGTGASTGACAGCTCAGAAATAAGAAAAATAATTATGACAAAAGAATAAAACGTGTTGGATGATTGAGCTAAAGAACAGCAAATTTTTAAATGGGACTTTTGTGAAAGAGAAGCTGTTTTGATGAGTTGATTTTAAAAAGTGACTCTTCAGAGAATATGTTATAAAGCATGATCAGCACCAATTCATTTTTATTATATGTTATAATATATAGCAGTTCTAAAGTAAATAAAGGACAAGTTAACCATTTGAAGCACTTGAATTTGCAATTTAAAAGATTATAGAAAATATGAATATATCATTACCTTTTTAAAATAACATCATAAATCATCTTTATAACCTGAAAAAATAATAGTGTTCTTTGTACATAAGCTAACGGGAGGGGGAAAAAAAACTGATTTTGATAACACACTTTCTCACTTCAATAACTTAAGAAAAGAAAAAAAGTTAAGTCATCATCAGGTACCTCCTCACATGAAAACAATCAAGAGTTTAAACACAGCCCAGGACAGAATAAGCATAGAGAGGTGACTTCCCAGACAAAGAGAAATACAAAGTATCAGTCCTCAAAAAAAAAAAAAAAACGTTTCTTACATTGCTAATGAGTGGTTAAAATAATGCAGTGCATTAAAATAATGCATTACATAGTGTGTAAAAATACTGTAGAAAAAGCATCTAATCTACTGGCACAATTTATTGTAAGAGGTGCAAGCAAAAACCCTGTTAAAGTATGCTAAAATGTACCAGAGACTGGACATTCCTTTAAAACAACCTTATGATATTTATGCTTTGGAGAAAAAAAAATGGGATCAAGATGAATCAGGGCTAAAGGTGAAGACTACTAAAATAATACAATGGATAAACTAAAGATTTGCAAATACTTATATCCAGAAGACTGACATATCAACTACTGCAAATATTAAATTGTAACTTTGCCTGTTGCACRCAGTAACAATGCAGAAGGAGCTGGACATTCTGCATTCAGTATATTTCCATATACATTCACATGCATAACACAAAAATGATAGAAACTATACAATGGAACAGAGATCAAAGACAACTAGTAGCTTATTATTATTATTATTATATGCCCCAGCAGAACTGCAACATTCAAAAATGAAATTAAAGTGAAATTCAGAATCCAATTTCTATGCACATTTTACATATCTCAAAAGGCTAGTAGCTGCTTTAGAGCAACTGCCTCAAAGAAATAAGGGTACAGTTACTTAGGAGGAAAACTACACATTGGTATTTATAAACCCCTTGCTATGCCTACCCTCCTCCTAACACAGTTTTGTGCCTCACAGAAACAGGTTGCTTCTGTTTCTATCAGTATCAAAGAATCTTTCTGGACAAAGAACTGGATCCTTTAAGGTACTGAAAACAATTCACACTTTAAATAATTATGTTCTTCAGTTCATCAACTTTAAATCTCTTAAAATACTCAAGCTTGACTAACAGCACTGTCTGTTCACAAAGCTCACTGCAGAAGCGTGTTACCTGCAACCTCCCCAAAACTGTTCCCAGGATCCCATCTGGCACAGAACCAGATCTTTCTCTCCAGACAGTAATCCCAGGCTAGCTCCAAAAGGATTATAAGCAGGAGCACACCAGGTCTTCCTCCTCCTTCCTGGTCTAGTCTGAATGCCCTATCCCAACAGTCTCACGTCTCAACATAGGTAACACATCCCAAAAGAGTACTGCTGTGAAAGCACAAATACCACAAACTGTAATGAAATCTCTTCATTATATTGGATACATAAAGATACTATTCATAAAGCATCTTGAGGGGAAAAAAYGTCTCAGGCCCAGTGAGGGGCTATTCAGGGCCACGGGAGTTGCAAATCCCTCAGAAAGCCTCAAGCGAGCCCAGAGCTCAAGGACTCACAACTGCAAGAATTTCCCTGGCCACTTTTGGGGCATAAATGTTCTGCATCGAGAAGAGCCAAGCTATGTCACTCAAAATATCACTAGAAGTGACCGATTTTAAGACCCATGAGAAGAACTATCATGATCATGTGGAAAGCATGGAGAAAGCACTGTGTTTGGCAGGCAGAGCATGCTACAGAGATYTGTGGTTTAAGGGAGATAAAGGCTTGACGTTTATGATAAGCAGAGTCAAGTCCTGGAAAAGGTTGCTCAAAGTAGTTGTGTATCCTCCACCTTTGGAGATATTCAAAACCTGAATGGATTACGTCTTGAGCAGCCTGCTATAGGTAACCCTGCTTTGAGCAGAGGGATTAGACTACATAATCTCCCAAGGTCCCTTCCAACATTAACTATCATGTGATCCTGTGTTAAATTTTCAGTGAGAGATCACTCCAAGTGCTATGATATAAATTGCAAGGATGCCACTCTGCACTGCTAGCAGAGGATTTTATCTATTCCTCTTTTGCTGGGGCCCAAGGGTGTGTTTACAAAGCAGACATKACTCTGGCAGCAGCTCATGTAATGGTAATATTGCTGTAGTGGTAATATTAATACAATATTACCACTTCTCAAGTTGCAATATTATACYAGTTTTCAAGTAAGTGATTCAAGCATTTTAATTAGATGCTAAATTAAATGGTGTTAACTCTGGTATATGCACCTATACTGCTAGTCATGCCAGCTGCTTTGAAGTCACTCACCTTCAGATTACCTACACACACTGTACTCAGAGCAGCGACTACTAAATAAGCAGTGTAGAGTTGTGACACAAGAGTTTAACCTGCAATATCTTGGCAAAGCTAAAACAYGGTGATAGGCTGGCGTCTTTCTACTATGTGTAACTGACCGATCAGAAGCAGGTGCTCCATCTCTGCACTAAGAATGGAGTTCAAGACAGTTTGAAATTCAAAATGAAAGATACCCCGTCCTTCTCCTATAACATATTCCTACAGAGGTCTTTTAGTACTCTCAGTTACAACAAACAGTTCAGATCTTCTGCAGCTAAATCATTTCCACTGTATTGAACAAGACATTTCATAGCCATGCATAAAATAGACATAAATGTGCTCATAAAATACTGCATATTTAACTGATAAATAGTTAAAAAAACAGTTAAATACAGTATCCTAAAAATAAAATATCATCAATAAGTCTGACAGCATTTTATCAAGTCCAAAAGTTATTTAGCTTGAAGGAAAAGAACTCACAGAATGTTTAAAAAAAATAAAATAATTACATGATCTTCAGGCATCTCTTCTAGAATATACAGAATGCATTTGTTTTCATGATTCCAATAAACTCACCTGGAGTTTTGAAGCTCAGTCTTTTAAAGTCTGTTCGCTATTTAAAGTATGAAACACTCCATGTGTTGGAACTCCATTTATAGTTTACTCTACATTTTCACATCAACTGGGTAATATTCCACAAAACTAGCTGKAACGTGCTCCATACTTTGTAACACTCTGAGGCAGGTTTTGTAAAAATGAAAGTGACTAAACAGAATACCAGAATGGAAAAGCATTTCCCCTAGACAGTTCCAGAGCATGCCTCTGTACAGAAGAACCATGGGTATGCTTTTCACAATAGTGTCCTTAGCCAAAGTACCTCTCTTTTCTCTACAGATACCCCATTTATTTTCTGCAGTATTAAAATACCTGAATTATCAATGGTTCCAATAGTTTCTCCACAGTAAATGTCTGGATCTGCAGATCCTGAGGATCAATTTTCAGTTTAATGTTTGGCACTTCTGTTGACATTTCACCTAGGTACAAACAAAACAAAGAAATGTGTAAGTAACTGAATAAGGAACTATGATAGTAAGTTTCATTGCTCTTGATCAGTGTCCAGAGAACACTTACTGGGAAAGAGACTTGGTGCAATGGCCAAGTCATATCATAAATAGTATGCATAAACTGCAAAAATCATTTAAATAAATTTAAAATATGTACAATGCTTTTTTTTCTCTTCAGATTTCTATATTGACTCTATACAAAAAAGATTGTATTAGAAAACTTAAGAATATACAGTCTCTCGTAGTCAATAGTAATAATAATGAGCTTTTAACCACTATTTATATAGTGTATCATTGAATTGACCAAAAGAGAAAAGGACCACTGCTACATACATTATATCTATGCATTAAACAATAYATTAAATGACAGTGGTCATAATGAATGTGTTAGGAATAAAAATAGGTATGGCCACTCTTTTAAGCTCTGACAAATAATGACAGGAGAAAGTGAAACATAGTTTACCTTATCCTGTATAATAGCAAATATTTTCTAAGTGTCAAGATAGATTAAGTCCAGAAAACTTATTACTGTCAGCAAGAAGGAATTAAAGTTGAATAAGGTCTTTATAATGAATAAATCATTCAACAGAAACTTAATCCAATGTCCACTGATAATAACTTAGGAGTTTTCATGGAATTCATTGGGACCTGATTCAGGCCTTTTGCCAGCATGGTGATAAGTCTATGTGCACACTAGCACAGAATTATATCTGTAATTTTGTCAAATTGCAATTAATTATTGTCCCAAAACAAATACATTTGAAATTTCCCAGGAACTTAATTTCCCATAAAAGACAGCTCAGCAAAAGCCTTTATAGCCAACAAAATTTCAAACACACACATAATGGATACCTGTCCTTTCTAAGCAGGACTTATTACAACCAKTGCTGCTGTATAATAAAGTAATAAGGTACTGTGACCATACAGGCTAAAGAGATATATTGTCACCTTCTAGTGAACCTAGAATTGATTTAATATAGCACAATAGATTTAGCATTTTTATAGCAACTTTATAGCATAATAAGCACCCATATTTCACTTGCAGGCAAAGAAAACATTAATAGTAATTAAAGAATTAAGGATAGATGTAATTTAGGTTTTTGCTATTCTCAGTAAGGGTTATATAAATGCCAAGCTTATTGCTTTATTGTAAGCTACGCTAGCTGCAGCCCTAAATTCCTATACATTCCGTTGGAGACATTCAAGTGACAGCTTCCATAAAGAACTACTTTTCCAGTTTTCATTCAAAGTCAAAAGACATTTAAAAAATAAAAATTTAAGATCAGACTGTCCAGAATTACACTTTTTCCTTCTGTTTTAAATATTTAATATGAGAATACCAGAATAATCAATGCAAATCCCTTTACATGTTTTACTCTTCAAGAAATTTTTGGACACTTTTTAAAAAAGGAAAGAGACAAAAGGAAAAAGAAAAGAACAGGGGTAACAGTTTTGAGTAACCCAAAATTGTCATTAGAAGTGGCTCTTCTTCTGCCCAAAGAATGAGGAACAAAGGCTTCAGAAACCCAGATGTCCCTTAGTCAGCAAAGGGACTGCAGTCCTTCCACAGCTTGAATTGTTACGTATACTCTCCCCTATTGTCAGCCCATTGTTTCAATAATAGAAGGAAAACATTATTCAWTTCATTTAATAATGGAATGATAACAGACCTATGACACCTGGAAATCCTGTAATGCAGCCAGAAAACCATTGCACACAAAGGTATTACACTTGAGTAATTAATCTAAGAAGTATCCAGTTTTAATCCATGTTCCTTAATTATTTTCAATTCAGTGAAAAAAATTGGAATACGCACCTTTACATAAGTTAATAGAGATTTTATTATTTCTATCAATGGGCCCATKATTTATCCATAGATTTTCATCTAATCATAGAAATAGATTTGGTCTCACAGCTGAAAGGACTTCAACACAAAGACAGAACTTAGTTTACAATTTTACTAAAACACAACTTTAATTTTATGCTTATCACAACCATAGGCTACTGAAAAGGAGAGCTCAATTTAAGCAAGAAATGATGGGCCACCACCATGGTTGTGGTACTGACTTCAGCCACATAACTCATTCTGTTAAGATTATTTCTTCTGCTAGGTCTGGATTATTTTTTCATCAAAGCTCTGCTTTTGTACCTTGTGGTTTTAATTCCAATGAGAYTTTTAAAAATTAACAATGAGTTTCTACGACTACTAGGTTGTACCAGAAGTAAAGTGTAAGTTAGGACCGCAATCTCCTCATTGCTGAAATATTTTCATTCTATGATCCTTCCATTTTATCTGTTATTTCATCTTCATAAAGCTTCATTTAACAGTACCATACATACCCAAGCAATAGCTTACATCATTTGATTTTGTTAGAGGTACTCACATTGTCACTAATCTTACTATCTCACCAATAATCACTTTTGAAAACAGTTACCTGAAACAGGAATTAAAAATATTAAAATATTTATGTTCTTTTAAAATGAAGCAACTTCTTCAAGATAAAAGTTTCACACAGCTTTCAGCTGACTGTATACTTTAGGCACTATCTAATCTCTATAGAATCATTAAAGTATAACCACTTCTTGATAATATACTAGGCCTGCAACAAAAATAAGTAAGGTAGACTCTCCATCTGCTGTTCAGCGGAGGAATCAAGAAAAATTAAACACATCATGGACGATGTTAACCTAAATCTTGCACTCTTGAAACAGTATATAAATACAGATCTTTGGGCCCTTTCCCACAAATTCAAAATTATTTACAGGGCTTTATAAAACTGCAGCTTTTGCCATCATGAAAATGCAACACCCTGTGGTTTCTTAATATTGCACACATATTGGTGAGCTTCTGACCTTGGTGAGCTTCTGACCTATGCAAAGAAACGTCATTCTTGCGGGTCAATTCAGATAAAGGGCAAACACTCTTCACTCAAGCAGGTTTTATTTTTACTATGCATTTAATCTGTAGTATTTCTCTCAAATATCCATTAGCCCCTCATGTATGGGAACTAAAGGCCAAAGTAAAGTCAAATAATCACATAATCTTATGGTAATCATTATATATGGAGTATTATAAGTTTCCATGTTTCAAGAAGGAGAGGCAAGAATATAAAATGCAACCTCAAAAAGACAACACCTACCAACTGCATTATTCTACTTTTAACAAACAATATTCAGAGAAGGTTCCATGTCTGCAAAGTAGGTTAAATCTCATGCTTGACTATAACTWTGGTTGTATGAGACCCACTTCCAGYAATTAATGGCTGCATTAGCAGGAGAGCTTTCAGCAACCTGGACACTAGGTTCACACCAGCATTCACACTTYCACACTTCTGAAATAAAGATAACAAATATTAACATAACATCCCTTTTAACTTGTTAAAGTAAGCTTTTCTACAATACCAGTTTCTTCTCTGAAAGCCAAAAACATTCCTCATGCACATCCCTGCTCCTCTCAATTTGTTTCTACATCTGCCTTGTATTTAATAGCTTCTTAACCTTCCTCTCCCGTAATAAATGAACAATGCAGAAGGCCTTGGCTAAAGSTGCAAGCCTGGCAGGGTGCGGTGTGTCTATGTTAACAATTTGGTGCAGCATAAGACCTTCCAAACACACAGCAGAGAGCCTCAAACTTTTGAAAACTTGTTCTTTATGATGACACCATGGAATTGCATAGGATACTCCCTTCCAGCTTCACTGGGATTGCATCAAGACAGATCATTTCATAAGCAAAAAATTCTTTTTTTTAGTAGTTAGCAGAATCTTTACCAGCTTCCCAATATATGGGCATCTCTTAAAATCACTGCTATCGATGGCAATGACTCTGCTGTGATTTCTTTCTGGGCAAAATCTTAAAGCAAGAGGACATATAAGAATTTAAGAACTCCACAGATATAGCACCTGGTGGTTCTACTGAGCTTTAAAGAGATCACTACATGGTAGGGGTTTTTTTTGTTTGTTTGTTTGTTTGTTTGTTTTTTGATACAGTTGTGTTTTAAGTTTCTTTTGGTTTCACCTCAATTCATTGATAGGGGGATTAATAAATGCTTTGCTCAATTCAGAAATAAAGTCTTTGTTGTTTGCATCAAGAGGTGCCCTCCCTTCTTTTTGTATATCTTCTATGGATGCAGCATCACAGGTATGATGCTAGGAATCTGCACTGATGGTCAGGTCTTTTATAAAATTTGTCTGATAACATGTTTATTCTTATTAGACATTGCTAAGCTCCAGAATCCTACTTGTGAACAGTCTCAAATTCRTGGATTGTTACAAAAGCAATCCCCCTTCTCACAGCTCCGGAAAATCTCTGTGTGCTGTGAATAACTTTCTCCTCTCTCTTTTCATTTTTTTTTAAACCTTGCCATGCTTTCTAGAATAAAGATTTTATTCTTTGCTTTGGTTCTGGCACACTATTTTTGAATGCAACAGTGGTCYTTTTGCATTCTATCAGTCTCAAATTATAATCATTAACTGACAGTCCAAGTTAAAAATCACTTTCATCATGAAAGGGTTTTCATTTACCAAAAAACTCAATCATTTTCAAGGTACCTATTTAAAGGCACACTAGCTGATTCTATGAGTTTTTTGGTTTTTTTTTTTTTTTTTTTTTGATATTTTAATACCTCCTGTTAGACTTCCTTAAGGCAACCTAATCACAAGAACTAACTTGCAAGCCAGTACAGTGAAAATTGTAAAATCTTAAATTAAAAATCTACCATTGGCATATTAAAATAATTTACTAGGCTTTCTCTACTGTTAATTACTACATTAGTAAATCAGCATTTGTGTAGATTAACACTTTTTTACCAAGGCAAGGGTAACATAATACAAAGAAAAATACRTCTGACACAGATTGTTCTGGGGCCTTTTCCACCACCAAGTAAACTTCTCTCCTCCCAGACAGCTCCCTCAACTGAACARTTTTTGCTGCTCACCTTAGGGAAGTAAACGGAGAACACAGTCCATCTCTTTTTAAGACGAACATATYTACTCCAGTATAACATATCTACTCCACTATAATTTGTTAATTACAGTAGGGATCMTGACTGTAAGATATTTTGGTGAAGACTTATAACCTCACACTTGGATACATTAACCTTTACAGTAGGCAATTTCAGCACCGTAGASCAGCAGCTCTCACAACACTTACGATGTTAAGCACATGTCTCAAGATATAATTCTGTCTCAGAAGAGCCAGAAAAACAATCCACCCATACAATTCAAGTGCAGCATGCTTCAAGATAATACACATTTTGTCCTTTCAGCGGATGTGTCTGAACTGAAATTGCTATGTGTTTGGYTTAAGAACAAAAGACACATGAAAAACAAAGTTTGCATTAATCTGCAATACAATGTAACCACAGTATCTGCAGTTTTTAGATAACGTATCTAAACAGCTAACACAAACTAATCAGCGTCAGAAAGTAGAGTCGTAGATATTCCACATAAATTAGACAAGCTTAACTTCAGAATTTAATTCCTGCTAAATCATTAGAAAGCCAAGAGCGTATCACTCACCTATCCTAGAAAACAAATGATCCATATGCAGCACAACTGTCTATGCAACTCCCTTGTGCTAGAAACTTCAGTGCAAGTGCTCTGGTTCACTATATGGCTGCTGAGGCATCTGCAAGTGCACTGCCTGACAAGCTCGCCAGTGTATTTCAGGRTGACTGACAGGGTACAGTGGCTGCTGGACGGGTGGCAGGGGGATGGGCATCCTTAAAGATATAATTTAATGCAGAAATATTCCCTAAAAAACTAGAAATTAAAAAATTCCTTTAAATCCACATTGATTAATTTGATGACATGAAACATGACAATGCCATTACTTGTGGTGCTTATTCTTGCAATTTTCAATGCAGCTATTATTTTCCCATACATTCTGGTTATATGCCAACTTCTATCTCAAGGCAATGACTCAGATTCAGACTTTTGAACAAGACAGCAAAGGGATTCATCGGCTTTCACCCAATCATTTGGCACTAAATTTGTTTTTTCTTTTTCTTCTATTGCATTCTTTTCTACACTGACATATACTATATTATSCTATAAAGCTCATAAAACACACAAGCCTTCTAAAGAGCAGAAAAGATACCGAGACTATATTTTATTTTATTAAAAATACACATTCAGACTACTTTTTTTTTTTTAAACAAGAAACACATGCATAGGACACATAAGAACTTCCAAGACATTAAACATTGCTGAGAATATTTAACAAAACCTTTTGTTACTTGTTCTTAATTATATATTTTAAAAACATCATCAATTCTGTTGACACCTCTCTGGAATTAATATTTGTCATCTCTTTTGCAATAGAATCAGTACAGTGAGTGCAAAACAGGCTTTATAGAAGCAACAATAACAGTGACTATGTTTTCCTTTAATCCACYAGCTGTTACTGAAAATATACAGAATGTACTGGAATTATCCATTAAGATTTACTAGTCCTGTTTGTGACAAAACTATATGGACCTTTTCTACTTGAGGGCCTACTGCACTTGTAGACACTGGAATGGAGAAATACTTCTGACATCCGGGAAGAATGTACTGGAATTATCCATTAAGATTTACTAGTCCTGTTTGTAGCAAAACTATATGGACATTTTCTACTTGAGGGCCTACTGCACTTGTAGACACTGGAATGGAGAAATGCTTCTGACATCCAGGAAGGATTCAGTCTATTTAACACTGATGAAAATCTACAATGTTTCTCACAAATTATTTAGTTGCATACAAAGTTATGATGTAACACTGCAACCATATTAGATTACATTTTTATCATTACTAAGAAGAAAGACGTCTGCTAAAGCAAAGGCAGCACAAAGGGAAAAACAAGCCTGAAAGATGTAACAGTTGTCAAGACTCAGGTACTAGTTAATAAAATGTATTCACTGCAGGATACTTTATTTAACCAGGTTTTATACTTAGTTAGATTCTCAGTGAAGTAACTGGAMGGTATTTTTAATACCGAGTAAAAATTTTTTTTTTCTGATGTTTCCTCTCATCTCCCTCTGTGTCCACCTTCTCCCAACAAGCATTTTTTTAATCAATTGTTCAACTTCAAGCACATCTGAAAGGCAGATAACAGTCCCAGATGCAATAGATTTCTATCAAATTCTTAAAAATAATTCTCATAGTAAAAGAAATAACTAGATTCAGACATAAGCCCTTTTAGTGAATTYACCATGTAAAAGAACACCACAGAAGCCTACTTGTTACTGGACACAGAAGGACTCACACGGTAAGATGCACATATTATGGGACTGACCTAGTGCTATGAAAAGCCTTAATTAAGGCTTATAAAAGCTTTGAGATGGGAGAAAACATCACACCTCAAAAAATAAATTTGTGTTAGACTCTCTGATGTGTAGCAAAATAAAAAATGAAGATTTTTTTCCCCCAGGGTTGCAACACTGAGAATGGTATTCTCTTTCCTTGTTTAACAGTAATGCTTAGTTTTTCTATAGTGATTTCCATCAAAGTACCTTTCCAAAAAGAAGTCACCTTCCAGTCCCCAAAAGCAGAAATAATTTCCTCAAGATTACACAGAATGCCATTGGCAGAAWCAGGGATGTAATGATCTGGTCGCTAGGGTACCTTACTCCTTTTAACTCTGGTCAATTGACAAGCTAAGAAGAATAAAACATTTCCATTTCCAAACATAGCTTGCAATATAAAGGATATAATCTCATATTCCATACTCACATTCAAGCTATGCAAATATTGCTATTTTTTCTTCTTAGTAAGGTCAGTTAATGTATTCTTCTCCCTTACCTATACTACCTATTTTCTTGCCTTGTCTAAACAAATGCACTTTCAGCCATTACAATGCACATAAGAATTCTAGGAGGCATTCCAACAGAGGTGTGAATCCTATGATCTAGCCAGCTGCAGAGGTTTTGGCTTTGCACTAGCATCCCAGATGCTGCTCTTCAACCAGTACCTATCTCAAAACAGCCAGTAAGCTCTTGAGTCTATAGCCACAGCTAGGAAAAACCTTCTCCACTGAAGTATAACTACAGGAATTCAAAGCCCAACAGTACATTTACTATATTAGCAATCAGAATTCCACTAACATCAATGAAAGTATAAAGGTTATACACCATTATCAGTAAGAGCAAAACTAAACTGATCTTGCTGGGCCTAGAAATGCTTTAACCTATCTTCAATCCTATCTTGTACAACATCTCTTCCAGGTACATTTTTCTAGTCGTTCAAGTTCTGGGTCTCAGAATTGTAATTGTGAGATGTGTGTGTGTGTGTGTGTGTATACACATGTGTGTATGTGTGTATATATATACACACACATATATATGTGCGCGTGTGTGTGTGTATATATATTATATATAGTGTATATATATATACACACACAAATGACAAAGTTGTCATTGGCATTCTCTTCCTAAAAAAACAAACACAAATCCTTTCATGTGAACCTCTCTACTATTTTCACTGCATGCACTTTGAGCATTGAACAAGCATACAAGCATTCCACTAAGTGGCACACAGTCCCCACACAAATGGCTATCCCGGGCTGGTAATGATAGGTTAAGAAGGTTTGGCTCCAAGCCTCCCCTTTCTTATCATTTTTGAAGTGCTCCTATCTTTATTCAGAACCAGAGACTCTGTTCAAATAAAGTTCAAGTTGACCTTGCACTAAAAATAATCTATTGCTCACCTCATTAAAAACTACTAAGCAATTTCCATAATGTGCAAGTGGAAGGTTTTTAAATGCTATTTGCCTTAGAAGGAATTCCTGAGTTTCCTTTTTGCTGTGTTGAACATAACCTTTCACATTATATTACTTTTACTTAATATTATTTCTTTCTTATTTGTAATGAGTTTACAAGTTTTTCCTTTCTCTTAGAAAGCATTTCCTCAATCAGAACTGAGATACTGTTTCCAAATCAAAATATATCTCAAAAGAGAAACATTACTTATTCGCTATATCATTTCTGAACAAATAGTCCCAGAGGTAATATCTAAAGATATTCCTGTTCCTTTTAACCTCTCTCCTCATTCAAAGCCACTCTCCAAGGTCACCAAAGGACCTGGCTTAATAACAACCTTACAAAAAGTCTGTTTCATATTGGATTAGTTTCCTAATGTGGACCAACAGATGAAAAATAGGAGAAAATAGTGGCAATGCCTGATGTTTTACTTTTTCTAAATAGCAGTCCCCCTGTCTAATTCTTTCCTGTTAGTGTTTAGAGATTCACCAGCTCTGAATATACCCCTCATCTTTAAGAAGAGGGGTATGTATATAATCTTTTTGAAATGTACATAAAGTACATCTTTTTTAATGTACATAATCTTTTTGAAATATGTCAATCCGTTATACCGAGAGAGTCCTTTGTTAGCCCTCATTTCGGAATAGTRTCTTCTGGATTTTAAAAATAATTGTGTAAAATTGCTTTGTACAGTAATTTAGTATTTTCAACAAGGAGATTATAACCTGTATTTGCATAAACCTTCTAATATCCAGCAGAGAGGAGATGAATGAAACTTTGTTAAAGGAACAGTATTCACACAATATTCTATCTTTCCTTTTCCAAGATTCCAATACAAAATCAAGGCTTCTTGCCACTTCCTACTTCTACAGTATTCCAAATTCTATAGTGTTACAGTATGGAATCAAAYGACAAATTTCAAATGGCTTCAAATGACAAATCACAATGATTTCTTACACGCTCAGAGCCCAAAAACCTAAAAATGATGTTTAATTAATAATAATAATTTAAAAAAAAAAAACAAAAAACTTCAGAGTTTTGGGARTCATTACTTGATTACCTGTTTATGGTTCAATTCACAGCTTAATGTTCTCTCACCAAGTGGAAAATTCTCTTCATTCGCCTTCAAACTTACCTTTTGAATCAGGAATCTGACAAATGACCCTGGAAACAGTTCTGTGATGTATCCTTCTTGAAGTGACTTGACTCCAGAGCCACTGGGAGTGAGACAGCAAGTTTGACTGCCTGTCATTYCCAGTCTGAGAGAAACAAAATAGGAGAAGACAGTCAGAATGGGGAGGGGAGTCCCATTTGAGACCTCCTCCTAAACTGTTAGTTCCTGACTTCACTGATAGCTTGWTTCTGAAAATACCACTTAGAAAAAAGCCCAAGTTCATTCCCAGTCAAACACAGTTTTGTCACTAAGCTTTTAGACCCTAAACCAGATCCCACTGAAGTCAGTGGCAAGATCTCCTCAAAAATCAATACAGTTTAGACTGAATGCAAGAGGAAAAAGRGAAACAAGCCAACAACAGGAAACTCGGGACAAATACTAAATTACATAGGTCAAGTTTCACACAGTGTAAAGTTTCACACATACCACAGTGGGCAGGACAGTTGTCTTCTTTCACCATTCTAAAATACTGAAAGTATACTTCCATATTAATAATCCCACATTTACRATTTCTACCAAACTGACCATTTATAAAATAGACATCAGTGAAGTTTTCCCAATTCTTAATATTAACAATAGTACTGCAGTACATAACAGTGTACATAGCAAAGAAAAGAAGATTCTGAAAGAGCA